TCCTCGGTTTGGGTCTGGATAACTGGTTTGGGGGTAAATTATACTATAACTAGAATAAGGAACCTCTAAAAGAGTATAGGTAATTCTTAAGGCTCGTAAATTAAAAGGGCCTCCTGAAAGGGTTCGACCTGGGTTCGGTAAGGGTTTTAACCACCCTAAACCCTAAACCCTAAACCCTAACCCCTAAACCCTAAACCCTAACCCCTAGACCCTAAACCCTAACCCCTAGACCCTAAACCCTAAACCTAAAGCCGGTTTAGGGTTTGGGGTCGAAGGTGTATATAAGCTTCCAGGTCAAAGCTTTAGGATTTAGGGTAAGGCCTAGGGTTTAGGGCGGAGGGCTTCGGGTTTTAGGGCTTAGGGTTTAGGGTTTAGGGTTCCAGGGTTTGGGTTTAGGGTTTAGGTTTAGGATTTAGGGTTTTGCAGCTTAGAGTCGGGGTTTACACCTACGGCCTACAACTCATAATCCTTTACAAGGTACGGTATCATTCATGAATTGTCGGTTGCCAGCACATGTTCCCTGAACACTAAACCCAAGAAGCCCTAAACCCCAAACCGTTCACCACAAGTACCCGTCTCCTTATTAACCCAACTCGGGTTTCAAGATCTGTTATAAAAGGATGATAAGTCCTTTCAAAACCCTGAAGCGTAAACCCTAAACCTCAAGATATAGTACAAACAGATCATAACGCCTCATGAAGCCCATGTAGAAAGCTGATTAAACCCTACAAAGTCCCTCTGAAGCCTACACCCGAAGCGCTCCTAAACCCTAAACCCTAAACCCTAAACCCTAATTAAACCCTGAACCCTGAACCCTAAACCCTAAACCTAAGCCAAGCCCCAATGAAGCAGGCTTGGGGATCTCGCCGCCCTGAAGAAGTTCACTCCACCGGGATTCGACTGGACGCAAACTGACGACGAATGCCCGCACTGCACCCCGCTTCAGGACTCCTGCCTTCTTGGCCTGCGGTTTAGAGTTTCTGGTTTAGGGTTTAGGGTTTAGGGTCTTGGGGCCGTAGGGCTTTGCGTCTTTGGGGTGTTTTACGCTTTGCGGTTGGGGTTTGTAGGGCTTTGAAGGTTTAGGGCTGGTAGCCTGAGCTTGAGAGAATTTCAGGCTTGTAAGGGCGCAGGAGGACCTAAAGGGGTCCAAAGGTGGGATCAAAGTAGGTGGGGTATTCCCAAAGTAAGGATCCTTATAGATTAGGCTTTAGGCTTTAGGCTTTAGGCTTTAGGGTTTAGGGTATATGAGGGACCCTTAATCCTAAGGTAGGGGCCTAAATAATTATCACTACTATTTTGGCGGGTTCCTTGTTATAACTATATAGTACACTCTACCCCAAAAACCCTAGTCTAATTATCAAGTCCCCTATATTACCTGCCTTGATCCTGCCTTTAGAGGCCCCTGCTTGGAGGATCATGGGACTTAGTAAGTAAGGTTATAAGTCCTCTAATTGGGGTTATAAGTAGAGTTACCCTAATTATAACCCTACTTACTAAGTCCCATGATCCTTTAAGCGAAGGACGCGATCGTGAATGGCCTGATCTGCCAAACAAAGCGCGAATCGAGCCCCGCCATGATCGAGTGGATGCTGCAGCAAGGCGGCGGTTTAGGGTTTAGGGTTTATCGGTTTTCGGGGTTTAGGTTTAGGGTTTAGGGTTTAGGGTTTAGGGTTTAGGGTTTATCGGTTTTCGGGGTTTGGTCTAGGGGTTTTCGGGTTCAGAGTTTTGGTTTCGGGGGTTTGGGCTTGCGGAATCCACCCCTAAAAAGCCCAATGCTCCGTAATCCAGAACTTTAACGCAAATCGCGTGTCTTCTTTTTAAGGCCCTGACTTAAGAAGGAGCATTCCTCAACGTGGGAGAACTGGGCTATCTCGGTTTGCCTGGAATTTTGCCGTTCCCCTCAGCTGACCAAGCGAAGCAAAGAAAAGGGCCTTAATAATCACCTGTACTATTTTGGGGGTTCCTTGCTATAATTGTAGGATAATGGGCCCCCAAAGCCCAATTCCAAAATTCAGGCCCCTACATTAAATCCACCCTAGTCGCTTAGTCGCCAGTCTCTCTGGCTGGTTGGGCTTGGGCTGTTTTTGAGAGAATTAGATTTGTTAGGGTCAGGGGTTTAGGGTTTAGGGTTTAGGCATCATTCCTTCAATGGCAGTACAAGGCTCTATTTAGCCTTGTGCAGGAATGTTCACCCGAAGTTCCACGCCCTGAAGCCGAAAATCCGAACGTAGACCCAAGTTCCAGACCCCGAATCCCCAAACCTAAGAAGACCCTCATTGCCAAACTCTACTTGGAGGTTCATGGGTAGTTTTCAGTGGAGTTAGAAGTCCCCTAATGTGGGTTCTTATTATAGGTACCTTACTTATAAAACTGCATTTATAACTACCCATGCACCTCCAAGTGCAGTAACCACCAAAACCCCGTGAAACTGAAAACCTGAAGTACGTCATCCTAATCCCTGCAAGAGGCCTCAGAGACTAAGTCCATGCCCGCCAGCCCTGGGTAGTTCTTAAAATTACGGATCTAGAATGGGTTTCTATAGGGCTTCTAGACACTTTCTACAAGGGTACTATAAAGGTTCCATGGGGGTAGTTCTCAAAATTAGGATCTTCATGATTTAATGAAGGGATATCCCTGCCTTAGCGAGGGTTTTGATTCTGCTTTAGGGCTATTCCTTGTATTACCATAAGGGTGTCTTATGACTCTGTTAAGATTCGTCTTTTCCCCCAAATGCAGATACTTGGAGGTTCATGGGTAGTTATGAGTGGGGTTATAAGTCCCTTAATATGGGTTATAAATATAGTTGCCCTACTTATAACCACACTTATAACCACCCATGAACCTCCAAGTAAGCCCTGATCCCTCAACCCTTCCGCACGAAACCCCCAACTCCTGAACCCTAAACCCCCTCAACCCTAAACCATCAACCCTCCCCCAGTGCAGATAGGTTTCTTTGAACCAGGGAGTTTCCCGGCGACAAGCCGGAACCCCTGTTGGAAACTTCAGGTTTTCTTCTCAGGGTCTACGGGCTTTTGTTTTCGGCTTTTCCTTGTGGGACAGGCACCATTCCTTTAGGGTTTAGGGTTTAGGGTTTAGGGTTTGGGGTTTGGGGTTTAGGGTTTAGGGTTTATGGAAGAAAGCCCCAAACCCCAATCTCCCGGAGCTCTTAGCCCTGAGCCCTTGAGCCCTAAATCCTAAACTCCAAATGCTGAGCCCTAAACCCTAAAGCCTACACCCCGAACCCTAATCCCTAAAACCCTAAAACGCCCCAAACCCCCAAATCCCTAAATCCCTAAATCCCTAAACCCTAAACCCTAAACCCTCAAGCAGGTGCAGACCCGCAGCAGAAGTTCTCCACCTCAAATACGACCTGGTCAACTATGCTCTGGAAAAGATCCGACACGGAAGGCAGCAAGACCAAGGTGGCCGGGCTAGGACCCTCAGGTTTCGGGTTCAGGGTTTAGCGTTTAGGGCTAAGCCCTAAACCCTAGACCCTAAAACCCTAAACCCTAAACCCTCAAAGCTTAATTTGTTTCTGGCTCTGTCAGGTAGGGGAAGTTGTGAATTTCCGGCTCCTGATCCGTTCAACCCGGGCCCGAACAACCAACATTTCCAAACAAATTTTTAGGGCTTGGGGTAATAATTTTGGGTTGAAGGTTTTGTGGGAAATAGCTGGGTTAAGTGCTTAGGGAAGTAATTTAGGTTTAGGGCTTAGGGAAATAATTTTAGGGTTTAGGGAAATGCTTTAGGGTTTCGGGTTTAGGACAATTATTTAGATCTTTGGGTTTAAACAGGGAAATAATTTAGGGTTTAGGGTTTAGGAAAATAAAGTCGGGTTTAGGGTTTAGGGAAATAAATTAGGGTTTAGGGTTGAGGGCTGAGGGAAATAATTTAGGGTTTCGGGTTTAGGGTTGGGGGTTCAGGGAAATATTAAGCCCTATGGGTTAGCAAGCCTCATAAGCCGTGTCAGCCATGTAAATAAAACTTTGACGTCTATAGTGGCCTTGCAGCCCTGTAACATGGATGGGATCACGACATATCGGACCCAGACAGACAAGAGTACGCCCCAAACCATAATCCGCAACTTTGTCTTCAGATACCCTAAGCCCTCAACCTCCTCCGCCTAAACCCAAAGCCCTATCGAGGTCACCGTCCCTTATGCGGGGCATTCCTCCATCTCCTTTATCCTGGCTTGGCTGAAAGCGCTGCAGGAAAGCAGCTTAGACTGGTCCAGCGCGCAGAGATACCTGGAAGAGGTGTGTGGTCCAGGGTTTAGGGGTGTACGGTCTTAGGGTCTAGGGTTCAGGGTTTGCGGTTCTAGGTTTAAGGTGTAGGGTCTAGGGTTTGGGCTCTCATTGGAATGATCCTACTGCGTTGAGAGAAGCATAAGAATGCGAAAATCGATCTAATCTCTTTGCGCCCGTAAAGTGTCTTGGTGCGATATGATTAGCATACGGGCACTGGCACCCGAAGACTACGAAACCAGACCCGTCAATTTGACCTCCGCCTTAAGCAGCCAGGCCAAAGCCTTAACACCTAAATGGTAACCCTCATCAGCCCGTGCAGTACGCGCCCGAACTGGTCCCAAACCCCGTAGCTAAGCCCCACACCCTAAGCCCTACAGCACCCCGAGGTGATGTCGCTCTTTGCTCAGAATCCGGCACAGGAGTTCGTGACCGTCCAGCCAAGTTTTCTGGATCAGTGGGAGGCGGTTCTGGAGATGACTGACACACACAACGTGACCTTTGAGACGGCAGATGGTGAAGTTACAGCTCATGATCACATCTTGATGGCAACATCCCCTGTCCTGAGAGCAATGTTGCAGTCGACCATGAAGGAAGGTTCGAACAAGAGGGTTCAAATCAAGGATTCACCGAGTGCAGGGGCATCCAGGTGGCACTTTAAAAAACTTATGAGTACTCTTCAAGTTTGCTTATGGTCCTACAACTATACCTATAACTGTCCAAGGTTTCTAGACTAGTTTGGTGCCGTTCAATGTTACTATAGGGGCCTTAACAATTTCCCATACTATTTTGGGGCTTCCTTGTCATAGTCATGGTACAATTTACACTAATTATTAAGCCCCCTACAATGTACATCCCAGGTGTCGCTTTTTCTGGAGATGCTCTACACCACGGCAACACGCACTGAGCCTTGGCTCAGCCCAAGAGGGCTGCAAAGTGCCTTTACGCTTTAGGGTTGCTTGGGGTGAAGTTTCGGGTTTAGAGTTGTAGCTGTTTAGGGGCCTGAATAAGCCTAGAATAGGGGCTTGGGTATAGGATAGTGTACATACAAAATAAGGAGTCATGCCCCTGAAGTAACTGTAGTTTAGGGTTTAGGGTTTAGGGTTTAGGTTCAGGGAGGGTGCTTTTGCATTGCAGGGGCAAGTTGTCTTTCTAGCGGGGGATTTTTTGTAAAATCCGGAACCCGGAGCCTCGAAGCTTCGGCCCCGGCTGTTGTGCAGCTCTCAGCCCTGTCCCTAAACCCTAAGCCCTAAACCCTAAGCCCCTAAACCCTAAACCAAAAACCAAAAACCCTAAACTCTAAACCCTAAACCCTAAGCCCTAAAAAGGAACCTCGACATCCTTTCATTAGTTGGTTCAAGACCAGCACAAAGAGCCTAACTCTAAAGCCCCGAATCTCACAACCCTGCCCAAAATGGTACGTACTAGTAACTGCTTAGTTGTCACGTGTGAAGCAAACATCTAGGACCACATCAGTCTCTGAATCACATCGTGTAGACCCCATACGACAGAGACCCAGGTGCTGTTACAAAGAAAACACCCTGAACCCCAGGCAGGGTTGACTGGGTCTAGAGTTTGGTGCTTAGGGTTTAGGGTTTAGGGTTTCGGGTTTCGGGTTTAGGGTCTCGGGTTTCGGGTTTAGGGCTTGCCCTCAACCCTAAACCCTTCCCCTAAGCGTCCAAGTGCCTAATAATCATGTACTCTCCCAACTAGTAACCTACATAACTACTATCCGAAGCCTAAGTACCTGATTATTGGGTCCTTTGGACCCTTGGGGCTCTAAGTCCCAAGAAAGACAAGGAGCCGGACTACAGAACTGTGCTGGCTGCCCTGGACTTGGCCCACCGCTGGCAGGTCCAGACCGTCCTACCGAGCCTCAGTCGAAAAGCTTGGCTCCTCAAGGGACCCTTCAAGGGTTTTTTCTATAAGAAAAGCTTGCTTCCTTAAGGGAGCCTTTAAGGGTTTCTATAGGGTTTCTATAAGGGTACTATCGCGGTGATTCTCTAAATTGGCGTCAGCGGCGTCCTTAAGGGATCTGTAAGAGTTCCAGAAGGATCCTCTGGGGCTTTTGGCCCTAAGGTTTCGGGAGCTTTGGTTTAGGGTTTAGGGTTTAGGGTTTAGGGTTTAGGGTCTTTAGGGTTTAGGGTTTACGGTTTAGGGTTTAGGGTTGACTTTCTAATCGTCTTGTATGGGGTCTCCATAAAGTTTCGCTTGATGAGCCCTACTTGGAGGATCATGGGACTGGGGTTATAAGTATAGTTACCTTAGTTGTAACCCTACTTACTAAGTCCCATGATCCTTTAAGTAAGCCTTTTTAATTTTAAGCCCTAATTGGGCTTCACTTGGTGGTGGTATACCTGTAACCCGAACGGTCCAAAAAGCCGACTTCCGAAAAGGACACACCTGAGGGTTTAAAAAGCCAAGGAGCCTTGGACAAAGTAGGTTGCAATTTCAGGTTTTATGGCGTTGGATTAAGTTGGATTTGGGTATTGAGGCTTCATGAGGTTTGGGTTTTAGGTTCAGGGGTTTAGGGTTTAGGGTTTAGGTCTACGGGAGTTAGAGTGGTGGTGACAGCAAGAGTTGCCGTGGTAGTAGAGATGGCAGGATGCGAGAGTCTTAGAATGGCAGCTGTAATGCCGTGTGTCCGGATGAATTATGGCTAGCACCAGTGCACACCAATATATTATGCTTTCGACACAAACCGTTTACAAGCCTCATGGAACCTGCAAAAAACGGCTTTCAACCGTCCCCGAAACCCTGCAAAGCCTGCCCCAAGCCCGAGACCCTGGACTCCAACCCCCAAGCCCTATCTTTGTTGTTCCTTTGCTTCCTGAAACTCTGAAAGCACGAGGGATTCGAATATGCTCATCTCAAATAGGCTTCTGTAGGCCGCACCCGCGCGCAGACGGAAAATAGCCGTCAACCGGAAAATGAAACCAAGCCCTCAACCCCCAAACTAAAACCCTAAACCCTATAAGCCCTAAACCCTAAACCCTAAACCCTAAACCCTAAACCCTAAAACCCTAAAACCCTAAAGCCCTAAACCCTAAAACCCTAAAACCCTAAAGTGTTGAGGCTTCTAGAAAGCGGCCTCTTGGGCTTGCTTTCCGTCGACAGCTTTGCGGCCATAGCAGAGGCGGCAGCCCTCAAAGGCTCGTCTTGGGGTTTAGGGTTTAGGGTTTAGGGTTTAGGGTTTAGGGTTTAGGGTTGGAGGATCATGGGACTTAGTAAGTAGGGTTATAAGTTCCTTTATTGGGGGTATAAGTAAATTATAAGTATAGTGGGACTTAGTAAGTAGGGTTATAAGTCCCCTAATTGGGGTTATAAGTAAGTAGAAGTATAGTTACCTTAGTTATAACCCTACTTACTAAGTCCCATAATCCTTTATGTAGGGGTTCTGCAGGGTGTTTATACAGGGCTTCTGTTTGAAAGAAGGGTAGGAATAACATAGAAGCCTAAATACTTACCTAAAGGAGCCCGAAACCCTCTTCCAGTTATTAAGGCCCCTTCGTTAGGGCTTCCAAGACGTGTGGGGCTTCTTCGAGGTTTCAACTGGCTTTCCGGTAATGTGAGTTCAGGTCTATTCCTTCCTTCAGTGTTGGAGTGGGGCGAAGCCCTTGGGTCAGAATCTCGGGGCTTCTGGTTCTCAGAAGTTCTTGACCTCAAACACTTCTAAGATTCTATCACCAAATGAATCCTAGATCCCCAACCCCAAAGACCCGACACAGCTTGTCTCAGATGCTCTGAATCACAAAGTGACTCATAAACCTCGACCCGAATTCCTAGACCCTAAACCCTAAACCTTGAAGCTGTGGCTACTGCTGCTCTCCTCCAAGTGAGGATGCGGATCCTGTAGGTAACTTTGCACGTCCGAAAACAGCTCTCAAAACAACAGTCTTGAAGCCTAAACCATCGAACTCCGAAGCCCGAAACCCGAAACCCTAGACCCTAAACCCTAAACCCTAAGCCCTAAGCCCTGAACCCTAAAGAGCCATCCTCAGGCCTGGAGAGGCTGCAGCGCAGCTGCGCATCCTTTGGGACGAAGAGCACAGAAGTCCAAGACATGCTGTGCCTAAGCAGACGTGGAGTTTAGGGTTTAGGGAATGAGGGCGTAGGATTTAGGGAGTTGGGGTTTAGGGTTTAGGGCTTAGGGAGTTTGGGCTTAGGGTTTAGGGTTTAGGGCTCAGGGAGTTAGGGCTTTGGGTTTCAGGTTAGGGCTTAGGAAGTTAGGGCTTTGGGTTTAGGGTTTAGGGTCTAGGGAGTTTGGGTTTAGGGTTTTGGGTTTACGGAGCATCTTAAAGTGTTGGCAAACGCTAAAATCCTAAACCCTAAATCCGCACCAATTCTTCTGTCGGTTCTTACCTGTAGTCTCCATTGTAGTTCCTTTTTGGGGATACTTTTTAGAATCCTTAATATATAATTGGTTAAACCAAAAAGGGCACGACAATGGAGACTATAGGTATTTTGAAGTGACAGTGCTTGTCCAGGGCTTGGGTTCCGGGTGTAAGGATCCGGATTTGGGTTTAGGGTTTAGAGTTTAGGGTTTAGGGTTCCGGGTTTGTCCTTGCGGTTGTGGTGCGGGGTTTGGTTGGGCGGCTTCAGGTTTCATATTGGATAGTTAGGGCCCCCGTAGCGGGGCAAGGTTATATTTGGGGTTTAGGGTTTAGGTATAAGCTTACTACCCCCCACCTTCAAACCCCATCCCCATTACCCACCCTCAGCTCCGCACACCAAGCCCCAAACCCGAAACCCTTAACCCCAAACTCTAAATGGTCTAGGGTTGAGATATACTAAACCGCCAACTCCTGAGGAAGAAAGGCTCCTTGCCTTCTGTGGTTTGCAAGCTGCTGGGCCAGCACACAGAAGTGAGCCTGGAGCAGCAGGCGCGCAAGAAGCGGAAGTTCTTTCAGTAGCCCGGGACCAAATCTCGTTAAGGGTTTCGGTTTAGGGTTTAG